GGGGGGGGGGTTTAGTTCTTGAGTGAGTGAATGGGTTTCCTTGAAACCTCTTCTAAAGACCGCACCTTTTTGTTTTCTTGCGGTTTTTCCAATGAGTTTTGTTTTCAAAATCTTCTGTCTTTAACTGGTGCTGATCTTGTTATCTTCCTCCTCCTCCTCCTCTTCTTCTTTCAAGTAGGGTGCATCATTTTGTTGCCTTTACTTTCCTTTTAGTCTGTTTTATGAGACAGTTTTGATATTATTTAATTCCATTTCATGGTTATTTTATTAACAAGTCAATTAATTTACTAATTATGTGTTAAATGGTTTTTCCTCGTGTGTTTTCAAGGGTATTTAAGCTTGTTTTAAATGTGTTTTTTACACGGAAAACAGTAAAATAATATTTTTTTAAAATAAAACAGGCTTACTCTCAAGTACCTGTATCTTACTATTTTATGAGAGACAGATAATGACACGAAGTGTTATCTTTGTTTTGACTGATAATAATTGTTAATGCTTTTTTTCAACTATTTTAAACTTCCCTTTTGTATTGTGTTTAACAGGATATCTGCGTCTTCTCAGCCATGAATCATTATATTCCTGATTGGAATTTTGAGGGTGATCTTCCTGTCTCCAATCAGAAGAAACCCATAGAGTCTGTACTTTCTCTAAAATTTGATTGCTTGATCTTTAAAGCATCTATCTTTGTACAGGTTGTTGATTTTGGTTGCCCCATCTTTTACCTTTTGCAGGCTAGGCAATGACCTAGTAGAGCTGCTATGGCGAAATGGGCAGGTAGTTTTGCATAGCCAGGCACACAGAAAACCAAGCCCTCATGTTCAAAAACATGATTCACCAACAGTAAAGGGCAGTGGATCAATTCTGAATTCAAGCCATTTGATTCAAGATGATGACGCTGTGTCTTGGATTCAATACCCTCTGGAAGATTCTTTTGAAAAGGAGTTCTGTTCCAATTTTTTCTCGGAATTGCCACCACCACTTTCTGATCAAATTTTGGAAGAAAAGTCGGCTAAATTTGATGCCTCGGCACCTTCACAGCAACAGCATCAGCATCAGCATCAGCGACAACTCAACAACAATAAACCTCATGTGGTTTCTGAATTTTCAGGGAATCCAATGCCCCCTCCAAGAATTCAAGTCCCGGAGAAAAATCATGCTGGTGTAGGAGGATTTGGTGAAGCTGTTAATGCTAACTTTTCTCAGTTCTCCGCCCCCTTTAAAGGAGGTGATTTTAGAACTTCAAATGGACAATTTGGAGGCCAGGGGTCTGGAAACTCTCCCCAAGGGGAGGTCAGGGAGTGTTCGGTGGTAACAGTAGGGTCAAGCAATCAAATTCCACATGATCGTGATATGAGCCGTGCTTCTAGTAATGCTGTGGGGACTAGTACTGCCTTTTCTACTGGACCATCCATGGATGATCCACGAAAAATAGTCTCCGAGAGTGAGAGAGGCAAAACTGAGACACTTGAGGCTACTCTTACCTCATCCTCAGGTGGATCAGGTAGTAGTTTTGGTAGAACATGTAAGCAATCTGCAGGACCTAGTGGTAGCCAGAAAAGAAAAACTATAGACACAGAGGATTCTGAGTACCAAAGTGAGGTGGAAACACAAACTCTCCCTTCATCTGCTCGTAAATTTGTTAATCATTGTATGATGAACATGAGTTGTGAATGATACAGGCTGCCGAACTCGATCTCGATTCAATGGCAGGAAACAATCCAACCAAACGATCAGGATCTACCCGCAGGAATCGTGCAGCTGAAGTGCATAACCTCTCAGAAAGGGTAGGCATACTTGATCTCGTCACGTTTTAAGATTCAAGATTGTATTATTAGTTACTCAATTATTGTCCACTTGTATGCAGAGACGGAGGGATAGGATTAATGAGAAGATGAGAGCATTGCAAGAGCTCATACCTCACTGCTACAAGGTCTTCTTTTCTGAACCTTTTACTTCAAGTTTAACTATCTATCTCTGCTACTCTTGTCTTTGCATGCCTGAGACACTTTTCTGTCTAATCACCTGTGGTTAGCCCAAAATCTTTACCACGGTATGCAGTGTTCGAAAGAAAGGCTTAATATATATATGAAATAATGATTGAATAAAGAAACGAAGTTAAGATATATTTGTGGCAATTGATTAAAGGATAGATTTGGAAATGAGCATTTGTGGGAAAAGTAGGTGTAGATGAGAGCAAGTCCACGATGTGAAAAAAAGGGAATGATCACCTTGGCCTTTTGAGAATATATGAACAAAGATAGTGGCCTAAGAATTGTCCAAAATTTCCTTGGTGTTTAGCCTAAATAATAGTGGAGTTGAATCGAGCACTTCTAGTTGAATTATTACATAACAGGAGTATAGCATAGAGCTCATTTTGCTCCAGGCCTTTATTCTCTTACTTCCAAAATGTCCCTCCTTGTATGAAGTTAAGCTAGTCCTAATGTTGCAGACAGATAAAGCATCAATGCTGGATGAGGCAATTGAGTACTTGAAGTCACTTCAGTTACAACTTCAGGTGTGGTATCGAATCTTGTAAAACCATAGTTTGGGCTTATCATTCTCCATTAACTCAATTCAAGCCACTGACAATTTTTTCTAGGTGTTTCAGGTAATGTGGATGTGTGGTGGGATGGCCCCTATGCTGTTTCCAGGAGTGCAGCATTTCATGTCTCGCATGGGAATGGGTCCCCCTCTGTCTTCTATGCAAAATCCAATGCATTTGCCTAGGGTCCAACTCATTGATCAATCCATTTCTATGGCTCCGACACAGAACCAGGGAGTAATGTGCCAAACTCCAGAGTTGAATCCAGTTAATTTTCACAACCAGATGCAAAATCCAGCTTTCGCTGACCAGTATGCGCGTTTCATGGGCTTCCATATGCAAGCCGCTTCTCAGGTTCCATGTTGCTCCTCTTTTCATGAGATAATAATTTTTGTTGTATGGCTTTTAAAGTAAAATAAATTGCGTTCTGATCTCTTGATCAGAAAATAATTTAGTGATAATGTTCTTGTTGCATTGGTTTGTTCTTGCAGCCCATGAATATGTTCCGGTTTGGCTCGCAAACAGTACAGCAGAATCAAATGATGGCACCGACAAGCAGTGTTGGAGGACCCTTGAGTGCTGGAACCGCAGTCGGTGAAGCTCCTCCAAGTGATGACAAGATGGGTAAGCCTTTCTATTCTCTTTATCTTCCCGGAAAATACAGTTCTATCTGCTAGAACATCCCCAACTTTTGAATTTCTGGATGAAGAATTCCCTCGACCCCACTTAGAGCGGTGGTTATTGTTATTTTTTAAAATATTTTTTATTTAAAAATATATTAAAATTATATTATTATTTTTTTATTTTTAAAAATTTATTCTTGAATATATAAAAAAATAAAAAAAATCAAATTTGGTTGAAACTACAAGCCAAACCAACCCCAAACACAATCAGTGTCTTAATTGTTGGGACATATTTGTTTTCCCAAGTGGATGATAGTGATCCAACCTGAGGGCATTTGATTAGATCCGAAAGAAGCAAATGCAGCCAATTACTGGCTTATCTTTAATTGTCATCCTTTCATGCAACCTGAGGGCATTTGATTAGATCCGAAAGAAGCAAATGCAGCCAATTACTGGCTTATCTTTAATTGTCATCCTTTCATGCAACGAAAGGTCCAAAACCAACTTGCTGGGGTTAGCCACAAAAATCTTTTCCTGTCATTCTGCCCTACCTACAGCCATATGTCAGGCTAAATATGAACTGTACTTGGTGACATTATTCATGTCCACTAATTTCCCTTTCTAGCCGTCCATGGCCCCAGGACAAAACTGTTCGCTTTATAAAGCACGTTCCCTTTTCACGTTTTTTTTTTTTATTGTATGTTTCTTGTTTGACTTGTTGTCGCGAGCAGATACTGCTTAGTGCTTAGCTTAGCTAGTTAAGTCATTTCATTTGGCGTCTTCCAAGTGATCTGCCTCCAAAATCTTTCTCGCACCGGAGATGAGGAAGAGCCTTCCTCAGGAGCTCAAGGTCCAGAAGGCTTTCCGAGTAGCTGAAAGGGGAAAAAAATCTGATGACACAAGTGCGCTGCGCCCTCATTTAAAATTGATCTGACAGCAGTTTTCTGATGTGAACAGGTTAATTGGTGAATATGAATTCTGATCAGGTGTTTATGGTCCCCTGGACGCATAAATCAGGACTATTGCAGGCTGGTGGAAGCAACTTCCTAGTGGATATGCGAAGCATTTAATATCTTACCAATCATCTGCCTACTGAAATAGACGCAATCATATCTTCTTTGTTCATATCCTGAAATAGCTGTTACAGGGATTAAATATCCCCATAGAACTTGTTCCGTAAACATTTTTTATTGAATGTAATGGTTTTGTTTGCGTGTTGCTGTTAACAGGATGGAAACAGCACCATTTTTGTTCCTTTCTGCTAACACACACACACACACACAACGAGATTTGCTATCTCAAGGATGCTAGTCGAGTCCTGCTCCTGCAGGGAGCAGTCTTTCCTGCAGACTGCCTCCA